CTCTCTCTCTCCCTCCCTCTCTCTCTCCCTCCCTCTCTCTGTCGCAGCGAGAGCTTGTGGGAGGTTTGTCCGTTAACGGACCATTACCGGACGGCCGACGGAGCCGTTAACGCGGGACGATACGTCGGGTCCATGTCGGCCGCGCTGCCCTGCGCCAGGCTGGCCAGGCGCCACCCCACGCCGCGGCACGACACGCCGGGCCCACATTAACAGCCCGATCAAACGGCCATCATCGGCGGACACGTCACCGTCATTCTGTCGCAGCAACACGACCCTTGGCCGCCCCACCGGCCGAGCCCGAAAGCGACCAAAACCGTAGCCACAAAATAAAAATAAAGATGAAAAAAATAAAATTCAATTACTTTTTTAATTATAATCAGGTGTATTCAATTTTTTTTAAAAAAAAGAAAAAAATGTTTCATGTGAGGCTGAAATTTGCAAAAGACGACTAGCAGCAGAGAGGACGCAGAGCAGACGTGACCCTTGCGGAGAGCGTTTACAGCTAACTGGAGCGTGTCCCGCGGGGACCTGGGACCTGGCGGCGGCCCCCCGCCCCGCCGCGCGCCGCCGACACGTCACCAGAAAAAAAGGAACGCATCTGCGTAAGAGGATGCGTAATACACATATTGCCAGACGGTACATGGATGGATGCTATCCTCTTCACCTTAGAGCGAAAGAGAGGCAGGCGAGAGGAGAGGGAGAGAGGGAGAGGAGCGTGCCGCGCCTTTTCATCCGGGCCCGCGAGTGTGACGGAGAGCGAGGACGTCTGCGGCGGCCCCTGCGCGCCCTCCCCCGCCTCCCGCTCCCGCGCGGGTACAGTGCAAGTGCCTCCGCGCGGCGAGTGCCGCTGGAGGAGCGGAGGGAGCAGTGCAGAGCAGAGCTGTGCGTATCCCTGAGATGTCATGTTCGGCTCAAACCAACCGCTCTCTTCTTCTTCTTCGTCTTCTTCTTCTTCTTACGCTTTCGGCTTTCGTGCGTCCCGACTTGAAAGACACACTACACCTGCTGCCTGGTGTAGTAGTGTACTACGTGCCGAAATGCCCCCCATCACGCTCGACAATTCGCGAGGCCCGGCGAGACCATTCCCTCTCTCTTTCGGTTATTATCATTATTATTTTCCTCTCTCACTTTTCCCCCCGAATTTCCGCTGCTTTGCTCCGATCTCCTCTTGCCGCCGGTCCCATCCCTCCTGTGCAGCAACTTGCGCCGCGCGACTTGTTTAGTCCGTCCTGACGTGCAATTAGAAGGGCGCACAGACGTGCCACTTCGGCGTGGTGCGGCGGTGCGACGGTGTGGCAGAGCGGGGCGGCCGTGAGTTATGCCCCTGCTCTCTGCATTACAGAACATTACAGAATTAATAAAATGGCGGCGCGCGCCGTGCGTTCTGCCGGCCTTACTCATTTGGCGCCGAACACAACAGCAGCGGCAGACGGCCGGGAGACGGGCGACATACACACTACTTACTTTCCGCCCTGCCCCGCCCCGCCCCGCCGCTGCAGTGGCCAGCGCAGCGCACCCCGGAGTTATTACCTCACTTACTTTGCAGCCCTCGGCTGGCCGGCCCACCCCTGGGAGGAGGAGGAGGAGGAGCGTCAAAACAAATGATAAAGTCTCATTTCGTCGCGCTCTCGCCACCCCTAGTAATTAATTGCAGAGTGACGCGCTTGCTGAAATGATTTGGGGAGGCGGAGGGCGTAGGGCGGCGGCTGGCGTCCAGGACTAAAACGAGAATGTCAACACTCTTCTAACCGAAGAACAAACAAACTATGGCCCCTACAAAAATGTTTAAACAGTTTGAAATTTAATTACGTATGTTTTATTTTACAAAAACACTGTTGCGATTGTACCTTCTTCATATCCGCGCGCGTCCACAATTCGACAAATGGGTGATCTCGTGTCTGCCGCCACCGTCGCCGCGCTGCAACAGAGACGGACAGACGGACTTTACTTCGTGAAATATGAATGTCCCCTCCAGCCGCCCTGCGCCGCCCCGTCCCTGCCCCGCCACATCCGGAAGAAACGTTATGCATGCCAAATAAAGTGCGCGCGGCGGTTCAAACTCCCCGCCGCGCCGCCCCTCTCCTTTCTGCCCCCTTGGCAACACCACGCCACGCCACGCCACTACAGCTTGTGTTTTTGCTCGTTTTGCCTCCGCGAGTTTTTTTTTCCGCTGTGTACTCAGTGTCCGTCCGGCAGCGGCGGGTGGCGGCACCCCCGGATCCCTAAAAGCGCATTTCACTTTGTGAAGGCGCGGCACGGCGCGACGGGGCGTGGCGGGGTGTGGCGGGGCGGGACGGGTTTCAGTGGTAGACGGGACGTGTATAAGAAGTTGCCTACCTGGCCGAGCGCCCGGGCGCCCAGCCAAGGGCAGACCCTGCCGGTCTGAAAGGAGCGAGGGAGAAAGACAGACGGACGGACAGACGGGCTGAGAGGAGATAGGGAAAGGGATATAGAGAGATGCCCCGCGAAGAGTGAAGTGAGCGAGAGAGACGGACTGAGCAGAAAAGAGAGGAAGGTGGGGGGGGGAGAGGGGTAGTAGGGCGTGAGAGGATTTTCGAGCAAAAAAGGAAAGAAAGAAGAGGAAAAGGAGGCGAGATAAGATTGACAATTCCGCCCGGGAAAATTAAGAACAAATTGGACGGGCGAGGTCAGCAACGCCCCGGCGGCCGGTGGTTGAAAATAAATCTGCAGTCCCGTTCGCGCCACTGCCGCACCACCGCGCTGCCCTAGCCGGGCGAGAGAGGGAGAGAGAGAGAGGTGGAGAGGTCTAACCACACGGCGGTGGGGCGTGAACTTGAGGAGGCCGTTATGGGAGGAGAGGGAAGGGGCGCGCCGAGGAGAGCGCACCGGGGTTTAGAGACAATCGGCCGCCATTATGTTCGAATTACCGGAAGTGAAGGTAGTGAGTGTGGGGGGAGGTGGGTCGCAATGCACACCGGTGGCAGCAGCGGGGCGCGGGGCACAAGTTGGCGCAGCTGGCGCCACTGCGCTGCGGCGGCAACACGAACTAATCGCAATAATCCTGGGCGCCTATCACCTGCAGGGCGAGGGGGGCGCCACCATGGCGCCACCGCCGCGCCGCACCGCGCCGCACGGTCTGATCTCCAAACTCCTCGCCCCCTCGCTAAATCCCCCTCCAGCTCCTCTTTGAGCCTCTCTCCCTTCCCCTCTTCAAACCCCGCGCACCAGCGTCTGAGCTCAGCCCCCTCCCCTCTCCTCCCCTCCCACAGCAGCAGCTGATCAAAGGCCACACCAGGACGACGAGAAGGCCGAGTTTGGCCCGTTAGAGCGCAAAATAATTCGGAGGCTATGCCACGGACAACGAACGCGTTTCATTAAAGTACACACGGGCGCCTGCCGTCCTCCGGGTAGGCAGCGCCGCGCGCCGGCCCTGCGCGACAGGCCTGCCCACCTCCCAGGGGCTCCGGTCGGCAGCGCACTGCAGCGCGCTCCGGTCGTCTTTCTCGCCTTCTTCTTCTGCTCCTTCCCCCTTTCAGAACAGACGGGCGCACCTGCTACGTACACTCTCTCACTATTTTCTTTTTTTTTGTTCAGGAATAAAAAAAAAAAAGAAACTGTTCGCCGGACACCACCAAGTTGTGCTCGTAATGTACCCGGCCGAGCCGGGCGGCGGCCGCTCTGGCGCCGACTCTGCAGTGGCGCCGGCGCCAAGCCCGCCGCCCCAAATCTGACCCACATTCGATAAAACTGCCGCGTAAATTCAATGAAAAGTGGTACTACTCGGGATACGAGAGGGGCTGTGGGGAAAATCGGCGAACAAATTCCCTTGCGCGAAACTGGGCCGGACTGCTAGCTACCCTCCCCCTCTGCCACCGGCGGGCGCTGGGCGCGCGGGGCCCGACCTGGCGTTAGGAGGGCCAAAGGTAGACTTGCATCGTTTCTCGGAAACGGTCCGTGACATTTGCATGTCAAAGCGTGTAGGTTGGGAAGGCAGAGCCAGGGAAAGAAGGTGCCACGCGTCTAGACCCCTCCGCCCCACCCTCACCCCTCACACCCCACGAGCCCTTACACGTCCCACCCACCATTCCGCCCCTCATGCCCCGGTTCTAGCGGGCAAACTCGCCGAGCATGGCGCACGGACGAGAACACTCTCAATGACGATACCATGATTGGTACCAATCAGCTTCGGCATTGCATACGCACACGCGGAGAAGTCTATGGTGATTTGGAAAATCTTTTGCAAAATTTGATGCGGTGGCTTTAAAGTATGAAGGTACTTATTTTCGGAATATAGTGAAAGAAAAGTCATGAAAAAAAAAAAGAAGTACCTTGGCAGCGGATCCATCACGATCTCCGTTGGTGGCCGTATACGGCCTCCCGTGGTATGGCGCATGAGAACAAACAGCATGGAACGGGGTGCATGCTACTCTGACCGAACGAATGTTCAGAGTAATAAAAGAAAACGGCGTTTAATGCGTGCAAACAAAACGAAAAACACAGTCAAAAGCAATACGCCGCTCCAACGAAAAAAAACAAAAAAAAACAGCTCGAGAGCGAGAGCGCATCCACATCACATCTCGGCCATACCATTATGCACGCGACGCGGAGAGGGTCCGTGTGCGAGACCAGCAGCCGCGATCACTAGCCACGCAAGTGCCGCGCGCACATCCATCGCTGGCAAAGAAAGAAGGAAAAAAAAATCTCCCTTTCTCGTCTTTGCTTAGCGCTGCAAACCGACCGCTGCTGAACCCATCCTCCGCGAGCTCTTGGAGCGTTAAGTAAACGCAGAGCAGCCGTTGTTGCTGCCGTTGAGCTTTGGCTGCCAGTGTCCATGCAGTGTGGCCAACTTTTTGACAGCCAGCCTCTCATTCTACTCTTCTCTTCTCTCTCCCCCACCCTCTCTCTCCGTCCCTCCCTCTCTCTCCGATTCTCGCTCTTTCTGTCTCGCTTGCTTGCTGGGAAGTTTTGCGGCCGCCCGTCTTTATCTGTAAAGTTGGCACGCCTGCTGCGCCCGGCCGGGCCGCGCTCGCTCGCCCGGCTCCCGGCGGCGCTGGTCCGGCATGACAGAAGAACCGTATACATCATCTTTGAATGGCCAGCGGCGCGAGGCGCGAGCCACGGCGCGGAGTAACGGGGGGGGGGGGGGGGGGGGGGGGGGGGGGGGGGGGGCTGCTGTGCAGGAGGCAGGAGGAGGTGCGGTACCGACACCTGTTGGGGGCAGTGGTGCCAGATGGGTTGCCTGCGCCGCCGGCGGGCACAAGCGCCGACACTGGCTACGGTGGTTGGGTTGCCCGTTTCACTCTTCCTCAGAGCTAACGCCCCGAC